TGGTGGCCAACGGGACGAAGCCTTGCGCCCCCTCTGCAACCACGTGCGGAGGCGGCCTCGGGGGCCGCACCTGGCGCGCACCTTGCCCGGCAGGAGCGTCCGAAGCGGAGTCGGGAGGGCGCGCGGGGCTCCTTCGGGCTCTCCCCGTCGAGTCGGACGGGAGGGGGGCTGCTTGGAAGGCGAGCGGCGGAGGGCTTAGATGACCCTCCCCAGCCCCGCCATCCGACCACGGGCAGCCCGGCCTTGGCTTGGCCCTGGGGCTAGGGGCTGGGTGGCCATTTGCGCTCTTGGAGAAGCCCCTCCGGCTCCCTTTCGCGGGGTCGACCTGGGGATCGGTCGCCGCGAGATTCCTCTTCAAGGTCACCCTGCTGGCCGGGTCCCCCAGCGCAGTCCCGCCGGCCAGGCAAGGGCTCGGCCGCGCTCCGAAGAAGAGCCGCCGCCGCCGCCGCCACCACCTACGAGGCACCTGAGGGGCGCCCGGGCACGGTGGAGCTCTGGAGGGGACGGTGGGCTTGTGAAGGCGGGAGGCGACCGCGAGCCCCAGCGGCCTTCCGGGAGGATCTAGCCCCATAGGCACAGGCTGGCCCGTTCGCTCGTTGCCTGGATCCTGGCCTGGGGAAGGTGGGGAGCGGGGTCGGCGCGCGAGGGCGCACAGTGGCACAGCTGCAGGCGAGGGAGGGCCTTCTCCTGAACAAAAGCTGCCCCTCCCCGTGGATCCAGGCTATAATATCAGACCTTCCCACCTGCTGGGGGGCGACCGCAGGGAAGTGGTCGGATGGCAAAAGGAAAAGACCATTAACTCCGATGTTTGGAGAGGAGATTTATGGGGAGGGGGCGCAGCAACAACAGAGGTGTGTCATCACGGAACTACGGCACCAGTCCTGGGGTGGTTTAATTATTTCTTGTCTCTGGACCCCCTCACAGCCCTGCTTTTATGAGGTCCCTTGGGGACCGTTGGCTTGCCTTTAAGCAGGAAGAGTCCAAAACTCCAGCTCAGTCCATTTCTGGGACTCGGGTCAACGCCTCGGGTTGCCAGAATTTGCCTGGCGTTCCAGACAGCCCGCTGGCCTGCTGAGGATTAAGATGATGATTTTGGTCCCTGTTGCTGCTTTCCAGGTCTCATTATCCGGAGTCTGATAGGAAAAGGAGTGCCTTTCCTATCTATTTTCCACCAGCCCCCGGAAACCGTTTCTGTAGCTGAGGGAACGGTGTCCCCTCGCCCGGGTGTGAAAAAAGGCCAGCGTTGGAACAGGACCCTCCCGCTCTGCTCTCTCTGTGCCCGGAGGCGAACCAGCTCAGGTGCACGTGCCCCCCTCTTGGCCCAGCTGACCACTGGCCTCCGGATCTGAGCTGAGCGGGATTACTGGGCTGGGGCGGGTTCTCCTCCACTGAGCCGCTTGGAATTTGCCAGCCACCGCATTTTCTTCAGTGGGGCTCAGACAGGCAGCTGGGTTTTGTCCATCCTGTAGGTGCAGCGGGGGTGGGGGAGGGCACCTGGAACTTGTGCACGTGCGTGAGGAAAAAAGCATGTTTCTTGTCCATGTTTGGGGGGGGGAGAGAGTCACTTGTGGGCATGCTGGATGGCCCACGGTGGCATTTTGAGGAGAGCGTGGCTTTTTGCGCTGGGAACCTTGACTCCTCTGTTTTAGCAGGCCATCTCGGTGAGTCTTAGAATAATAGAAAAGTGATAGTTGGACGGGGCCGACAAGGCCGTCCGGTCCAACCTCCTGGGGCGCAAGGCAGGAAGACCCTCCAAGCCTCTCTGACGAGTTCCTCTCTCCAGCGTTGGCGCGCTCACCGCCTCCCCTTGAGGTCACGGGTCCCACCGTCATACTGCTCTAACAGTGAGGAAGAATGCCGCCTGGTTCCATTTATTTTGAGCGTTTCCACTTTGTGCGGATCAAGGGCATGGGCAGGAAAGGCTTGGGTGGGTTTGTGCCAGTGTGGGCAGGAGGGGGAGGCAGGGCATCTGTGCGAGTTATTCCCCTCAGGGATCTGTGTCCACCACCAACGCCAGGGGTGGTTCTCCACGAGAGGCATAAGTGGCGCAGCTGCCCCTCCTTTGTTCCTTCCCAGTCAAGCCATATTTGATTTAATGGATGTGATTGACAGGCAGGATGACAAGCCAAGAGGAGGCCTGTTCTGCTCTGCTGGCAGTGCTGTGCTAATTGCGTGTGTGGTGCCTGGGGAGCAGAGCCAAGGAGGGGGGCAGGATCTGGGGGGCAGTGGCCTGGATCCGCATGGGGGAGGGGCCCTGAGCTCCGAACTTTCCTTCCCCCATCCAGCTGGGAAGTGGTGGAAGCTAAGGAGGTCACACAGCACTCTTTTGCAAAGGTCTCTGCTGCCGTGGCTGGCGTGGGTTCTGTCCCGAGTCGGCCAGGAGGTGCAGCCTCCTCCATCCGATGCTGCTGCAAAGCGCCAGAGGAGAACTGAGGAGGCAGCTGCACTGGGCTTCTTCCACCTGCGGGGAGGGGCACACCTGAAATTTTCGGCTGGGGCTGGCCATCCCAGTCAGGCAGAGGCAGCGCCTGCCCAGATAGGCAGCAAGTAGTAAAGCCCCCCCCCTTTTTTTAAACTGTCAGCTGGGAGAGAAGCCCTTCTGCTGCCAACAGCCTTTCCTTGAAGTGACGGGTCCGTGTCCATATTTCAGCGTAACCACTTATCAATAAGGTCATCACGATGGGTCTGTCCTCTGTGTCAAAAGGAAAGGGAGCTTTGAAGAATGGCATCTCTACTTAAAGCAGTGGAACTAGCTGATTTTTTAAAAAATTGTTTCCTAAAAATATTTATTTATCTGAAATATTTTTACCTGCTTTTCTCCTTCAAAAGGACCTAAGGTGGCTTACATCATTAAAAGACAATACAGCCCGGAGAAGTGGGGAGCAGGTTTTGGTTTTTGAAAGACTTCTTAAATATTGGTCTTAAAAAGAGAGACTGTCCTTTTAATATGGTGGGAGTATTCTTTCTTGTATAGCCAGATGTGCATCATCAAATAAGGAAGAATCCCACTTCCGGAGAAATCAACTGTTTTTTAGTTCTGTGTTTACTTATAAAGCCCATCTGTTTAATAGCCTTACGATTGCTTTAGCAAAACAGCTCACTTGGTTGTAATTTTTCCCACTGATTTTCCCAGGTGTTTCTAGGCCCTTTCCTCCTTCTGTCCCATAATTTCTGGCTCTGGCTTCAAACAGATATCAAATTCATGCACCAAAAATCAGCATGTAAGAGAGGTGAGAAACTGGCAAACTTCCTTGCCAGAATGAGGTTGGGTGCAGTAACTCTGACATCCTTTCAAGACCCAATCTGTTCTGTTTGGGGCAGGACAGAGGTGCGCAGGCATGTCTTGCCTTCTTCTGGAGGTGTGGCCTCCCTTTTGTGTTGTCTACAAGAATTAACATGTCAGCTCGTAGAACAGCTGCTCTTGGTTCGAAAGGGAAGATGACGAAAGAGGGTGTTGGAAGTGGGTTTTGCTGGACAGCCGAGGCGCTTCCTGGAAGGCGGCCATGGCGTCTGCAATGCATGCTCCATGGGCTTGCAGCCTCTGGGGACCCCCTGACCTCTTTGTGTGCTTTTATTTTGCAGGTGGGCAGGAGAGGGGGACTCACCATGGCCTTGGCGGACAACACAGGTTGCGCCAAACCCGGCGACGACTTGGTTTTCCCAGAGATCGTAGAGCTGAACGTGGGGGGTCAAGTCTACATCACCCGGCGCAGCACCCTGGTCAGCATCCCCGGCTCCTTGCTCTGGGAGATGTTCACGCAGAAGAGCATCCGGTCCTTGGCCCGGGACAGCAAAGGCCGGTTCTTTGTGGACAGAGACGGCTTCCTCTTCCGCTACATCTTGGACTACATGAGGGACCAGCAGCTCATCCTCCCCGAACACTTTCCCGAGAGGGGCCGCTTGCAGCGCGAAGCAGAGTTCTTTCAGCTGCCCGAGCTGGTCAAGACCCTGGCCCCCAAGCTCAGCAAGCAGAACTCCCTCGGAGATGAGCCCTGCCAAAGCGACCCCGAGGAGCTCTCGCCCAGTATGGACACTGCCCGCAGCCTGGCCGCCGCCAGCACTACCCTGGCCGGCACCCCCGGAGGGTCAGCCCCGGCCTCGGCCGGGGGAGGCGCTGGGCCAGATATCCGAAGGTCGGGCTTCATCACCATCGGCTACCGGGGCTCCTACACCTTGGGCAGAGATAGCCAAACGGATGCCAAATTCCGCCGGGTGGCACGGATCATGGTGTGTGGGAAGACCTCCCTGGCAAAGGAGGTTTTTGGGGAGACGCTGAACGAGAGCAGGGACCCCGACCGGCCCCCGGAGCGGTACACGTCCAGGTACTACCTCAAGTTCACCTTCCTGGAGCAGGCCTTTGACAAACTGGCTGACGCCGGCTTTCACATGGTGGCGTGCAACTCCACCGGCACCTGCGCCTTTGCCCACGAACAGACGGACGACAAGATCTGGACCTCTTACACCGAATATGTTTTCTACCGTGAGTGACGCTTACCAAACCAAAATGCACCAAAAGCCCGTTGCCCCTTGCTCCTCCCCGGGCTGCTGTTCTCTTTAGAACGTAGACGCCGACGCCGCCCGCCCGTCAAGCCCTTGAACCTCTGAGCCTCCTCTCCTCCTCCCTCGTTTTCCAAACTGAACCCTCTCCGGCTCCTCCTTGTACCAGCTCCCGACTAACGCCAACCCTTCCTCCCAACAGTAGATCGCAGCTTTCCTTGGACCGTGGACTCGGACACTGTTGTGCTTGTGTGGTGGGGTTGTGGGGAACAGATTCTGTATCTTTCTCTGGGGGGGGGCGGGGTGGGGCGGGGTGGGGCAGGGTTAGGGTGATCTGCCCGTATTAACCAGCAATGCAAACATGACCTGGAGCCAAAAGTGGCCTGGGAGCTTGTTCGGCCCCGCAGTGCCGTCGGCTCTCTTCGCCCTTTGCCCTGCCTCGCTCGCTCCAGGAGATTTGGGGAGCAGAATCCTGGCTGAGTGGAGGAGGGGGGGCCAGAAGGACAAAGGGACTGCTCCCAGCCACAGCCATATTAACAATAGCCTCTATAAGCAGCTTAGCAATAGACTGCCAGTGCTTGTGAAAGGTGAGTGAGGGAACACAGGCGCACCCGCCCGCCCGGGATCATGGTGTTCCCTCTGCTGCTACCATACCGAAGTGCATTCAACCCTTTCCTGTTGCTCGGAGGGGATGAGTTAGAGGCATGGCAGGGGCCTCAGGAGACCCAGCTTGGGCAGGGGAGGGGGTGGGTTTGCTGTGGGAGGGGCTGAGGGCCCTGGACGCCATCGCCCTGCGTGCAGAAGGAAGGGACCAGGAAGACCCTTCTCTGCCCAGGGCTGGTGAGCAGCACCCTGGACAGGACAAGGAGAAGCAGCACCAGGAAAAGTCTTGTGGCCCCTCAAAGATGAACCAGATTGGAGTGGGCTGAGGGCACGCAGAGGCTGCCAAGGGCATGGGTTTGCTGCGGTCTCTCAGCATCCCTTTATTTATGCCAAAGGAAGCTGGCATCCCCTGCCAGGTGCCCTGAGGCCCTTCTTTCTGCTGCCATCACGTCCCCCCAGTCCTGGAAGTTCCAATAACATAAGTCGGGGGGGGGGCTCCGATGAAGCCACATTGGGACCTTGTGCCGTTCTGTGAAAAGGGGGGAAGGAGGGAGGGTAGCTCTCTGGTGGCCGTGGAGGGAGACCCTCCCCCCCCTTTCTGCCCCTGCCCTTCCCATGGCGCCCAGAGAGGTGGGAGAGACTTAGCTAGAGGAGAGCTGGGAAGTGGAGGGAAGGGGAGGATCCAGACCTGCTGGTACTTGCTACCTCTCGCCTCCCAAGGAAGAATGCCCTCCTCTTTCTCATCCACCGGCGGGCGGGAAGGAAGGGGGCCGTGTCTGCCCTCCCCTGACGGCTGATGTCCTACCGAGGAGCGCCTCTTTGGGTTTCTTTTTAAAACAGGCGACTCTCCTCTAAAGCAATACTTGGCAACTCTGAGTTCTTTTAAAAAAAGAGAGAGACATTTAAAAACTGCAAGTGGTTTTTAAACAGCAGGAATTCTCTTCTGGCCACCTCCAGTTTTGCATTGAGCACTGGTGTGGCCTCCAGCAAGTCCCGCTAGCAGAGGAAGGGGACTCGGGAGCCTTTTGAAGTGGCCCCGCCTTGCGCCTTGCTCTCACATGCTTCATGGAAACAAGGGGACTCCTGACTCTTTGGGGCTTGCCTTGTCTTATATCCCGTTTTGCACAAAGGCCAGGTGCTTCCTGAGAAAGGGGGCCAGGAAGGGGAGATCTCCTGCCATCATGGCTTACCTCTGGGTGTTCAGTGGTACACTACTCCTGCTCCTGGGAGTTCTACGAGCACACCTAGTAGGTGATAACAGATAAGTGTTCCCCAACCTGTGGCTGTTGCAGAGTAGGGTTTTTTCGGGGGGGTGGGATGAGGTCCTAAGGTGCCATATCGGTTTTCAGTTATGAATGACAAGAGGGATTTCTGTCCCTGTGTGGGTGTAGAGATAGGTGTTTGTGGGGGAAGCGCCATGCCGGAGATGCCGATCTGTTTCCGTGGGGCGGGTTGGAGTGGGGTTGGGGAAAGAGGGCCTCCTTGTGGAGAGTCCCAAGCAAGCGCAAGGTGTAACCTTAGAATCGTAGGTACGTTTCATGTCAAATCTGTCCTTCACTTAGAATAGGAAGAAAGGGTCAGGTGGGGAAGGGAGGGGAGGGGGCAGGAATATTCTTGGCTTTTTGAAAGCTGGCCACTGCAAATGTGCCCGAAGCTGTAGCTTTTTATTTACGGGGGAGGGAGGGGGGTGAAGTGGGATGGGGCGGCGACTGTAAAGGAGCATTTTTTTCCTTATTTCAGCTGTAACTTTTTCAAAGAATCTCTTTCTAAAGTCTTGCACTGCAAAGTTGTGTATTTACAGGCCTTTGGGTGCTGGCTGGCTGGCTGATGCTTTAGCAGGCCTGGGAGACCATGTGTAATAAAGAACTGCTCCACCCCCCACCGACCACCCCCTGCCACTGACTTCTCATGAACGGGCCAAGGAGGGTGGAAAGAACGGCTCTCTCCTGGGTCATTATTCCTGCTTTTGTGAGAGGGAAGTGCTGGACCAGATGTGCTTTCTGGGAACAGCCCCTTCCCACATGCTAAATTATCACAGCGCACTGCTTGTGCTCTAGAAGGGACAAGAAGACCTTGAACTGGGAGGTGGCCATGGCTAGGCTTCCGGCCGTGAAAGGCCTGTTGCTCCAGGAGAGCCAAGGTTCTTGGGCAGCAAAGCCGTCGGCCCCAAAGCATGTCTACAGCTTTCGGTTCTGTGCTAAAGTCGGGTATCCAGTTGACTCAGATTAAATGATCAGCGGGGCCTTATGGAAAGTAGAGCTTAGTGGCATAAAGATCTAAGTGGGAGAGGGAGCTGGGAGACAGACCAAGCACCTCCTAAGGAAGAAGGTGTGGCTTAGAGCAGAGGAACGTTGGAGGTGAGAACGGTTATTAACCACATCTTGAAATGCTCCCTCCACCACCTTTTGGACCAAAGGGACTACCGGGTAGTTCAAACACCAGGCCAAACGCGAAAAAGGAAAGGGGGGAAAAAAGTGCACAGTAAAGCAAACAGCAGGGTCAAGATGCCACTTTCCAGTTAAGCAGGTTAGAGCAAAAGTGAGCATGGGGGGAAACGCAAGCGAGTGTCTCGGGAGCAGTCAGAATCGAGAACCCGAGATACCCCTCCATGTCTCTCTCTGAAAAAGGACCCACTTTTAAAGCCAAGATGTGATCAGGCAAGTGGGGGGAACGGCATGCCGTGAGCGAGCCTCCGTAGGTGGTGTGCCATGTATGGCGTGCAGAAGAGAGCTTCGGCCTGGGGATCCCCACCAGCAGGTAGCAACTCCCCCGCCCCCTTGGACCAAGGCAGAACCTCCTCCTGCCCTTTTCTGGGTGGCTTCGCAAGACAAGGTCTCCTCAGTTTCATCTCCGGCAGGCCTGCATTTGCCAAAGATCACACAGCCACAAGACCATAAGGAAGGAGGGCTGCTGCAGCAGCTCTCAAAAACAACTTAAGTATTTTTTTTTCAAACAGCAGAGTGTACGTAATTATTCCCTCATCCCTAATTTGGAAAAATTCCCAGCCAGTGTGAAGCCACTGGGCCGGTCCTGCAACCGCCCAATGCGCGGCCTGTCCCAGGCGCACCGCCACTGCTGCTACTCAGCGACCGCTTTGGTGCAGGGGGCCGAGAGGTGGCTGGGATTTGTTGCTTGACGTCAAGAGAGCGCCGGCCTCTTTTAATCAAGCGGTGCTGGTGGTGCTGGCCTCTTGGTTTTTTTGTTCTCATTCACTGGCGCCTTTTCCCAACCCAGGACAGTTCTTGCAGGAGGAGGAGCCCTTCCATCCGTCCTCTCTCCCCCCCCCCCAAATGTGTGGAAAGAAACTGCTTACAAGCTGGGAACTTTCTGCGGGCGGCCAGCATGAAACAGCTCCATGCTCCCACGTCATGTTGCAGAACATCATGTTTATCTAGCATATTTATATCACAAGATCTTAGAGCGGAGGTTGTAATACAAGCAATTTAAAATGGTTTAGAATTTCCACAACAAGTTAAAGCAGTTAAGAAAATACACAACAACTGAAGTCCTTCAAAACCATTTAAACAATGACGTCACAGCCTCCTCTAGCCAACATCTTTGCACCCCGAAAGCACTCAGTTGCTCTGTTTTTTGCCTCCTAGAACTCCTCTGAGTTTTTAAGGGCTGCAGGAGAAACAGAAACCCTGAACAGTGAGGTATTTCCCTGCTGCAATATTTCTTGGGAGGCTTCCGCCTTCAGCGTTTCCAGGTGTGGAGATGCTATCTGGCCTCCATGAAAAGAGAGGACGCAGGGGGTGCAGTGCTCTCTCTCTCTCTCTCCAATGGGTTTTCTGGGATAAGGTGGGGGCGGGCGGGGGAGGCAGATGAAGTGGAGAATCGGAAATGGAAGACTTTGTTGGATCACACACTCCATACAAATCCCACCCTTGGGGTAATCCAACATGCAACTGAACCCTCATTGAGGAGCATCTTTAGTAAAGCTTCAGATGCATAATTCCCCCCCCTTCATTGTTTCTGGCTCTTAGTTGTTTTTAAACCTCCCTGTCACTCTCCTGAACTGCTACGTGGCCCAGCATGCACAGAGATGCCACCGGGCATTAGACCCATGGCTGGGCTCTGTGGGTGGGAAGGAGGTCCATTTGGCATTTGCTGGAGGAGAGGGTGCCTCCCCAGCAACGTCTCATTGTGCGTGTATGTGTGTGTGCCCCCAAACTGAGCCCCAAACATTGCCACTTTGAGGGGCCTGTTCCAGCCTGGCCCCAGGAGAGGGTGGGCTGGGGGGGTTTGGAGCTGCAGGGCGGGAAATGTTCAGCCCTCTGGGAGGTGCTCTGGACTGCAGCTCCCAGACTCCATCGCCATGGACTATATTGGTGGGTTGAAGCCCAAAACACCTCAAAGGGGCAAAATCTCTCCTACACCCCGAGATCTATTTCGGGTGGCCACATAGAAGTTGGGAGAAAAGAGGCAGCAGGTGTGCTAAAAAGACAGAACACACCAGATGTCACAAAAACATTTCAATCCCACTTGCAGCCCAACTCACTCCAGAGGGGAAGACCCTGACACGCCGACACGTGTGTTGGAGGTGAGGGGCTCAACCTGCCACCCAGGGAGGTTTGCTCCGTCTGCACCCCTTGCAGGTCCTGCATCTCCCCCTCCCCCTCCTCATGGTTCTTCCCCTGGAAATCACACTAAACGAGCCGCCCCGTCTGTGGTAAAAGGGACTGTCTGAGCACCCTCGAGTTGCTGCACCCGCCACGGGCCAGGAAGCGCCAGGAAGGGATTGGAGCCCATTGCCAGCCATGCGTCCTCCCTCGTCGCTGCCTTCCTTCCTGCTTGGCCTGGAAGAAAGCCGAAGCAGGGCTGCGTTTACATTCCAGCAGGCTTTTCCCAGCCCCCTCTTCCCCTGTTCCCTCCGGACCTTCCCTTTCTCTCTTCCTTCCATGTGGACCTCCCCCTCCCTCTCTCCCTCCCTCAGAAGTGGGAAGGGCCCCCCTCCCAGAAATGCTCTGAATCTGGAAGCCAGCTGCTTTCCTGCCTAATTGAAGTTTGCAGCTAATTGCTCCCAGGCGCAAGGAGGCGGCTGATGAGTTCCCTCTGCGGGGAGAAGTGGAATGCCATTAAGCGCATTCCGCCACAGCCTTCCTTCCTGCACAGCTGCCTCCAAATGGGGACAGAAGTGCTTGGGTGTATGGAGCCGTGTGCAATCCGCCCGAAGATAAATCAGGTGGTAGACAGCACCGCGATGGGCCGTGCATGCCAAATAGGCTGTGGGCATGGAGGCTGAGCATCCTGGCCCAGCCGCCCAAAGAAAGCCAAAATCATTTGTTTGAGAAAGTGGACTTGAGCCATGAAAGCTCGCCTCAAAATATAGCCGTTGGTCTTTCGTGTGTACACCCCCTTTGCCCTTGTCCTGCTGCAGAATCTCTTTCACGGTCTCCTGGCTCCTCGAAAGGAGAAGTCAAAAACCCGGCTCCTTTGCACCCGCCCAGCCGTGCCTCTCAGATGGGGGTTCCATCAGAGTTGTGGGTCTGTGTGGTGGGTGGTTCCTCTTTTGAGACCCTGGGACACACCCCTCATCCTGTTCAGTTGGTCTGGATTTCTTGGCAGCAAACTCTTGTTTTCCTTCCTGCAACGAAGCAGCGCGCTTGCCACCCCACCCCCCAACCCAGGCGCTGCTGCCTAACCACACAGTCTCCACAGACAGTTCCCTGTTTGGCCCGTTCCAGCGAAAACAACCCAGGCCCTTGCAGATCATGAAAAACAAGAAGGCGCCCTTTGGCGTCAGCCGTTGAGCGCTCAGCCACGCTCGTCCAATGGCAGCCTCCAAAAGAACTTATGCCAGGGGAACCGGTTAGCCTTTAAGGTGCCCTGGAGCTTTGCTAAATTGCTCTGGGGTCACCCATGGGAGAAAACCCAGGAGTGGCTCTCAGCTTATCTCCACCTTTGTGAAAACACGAGGAGAATGAATTTAAAAGCAGGGTCTTCTCCTTTCACAACCATACCCCAAAGGAGCTACCGTGAAGCTCCTGCCTCTCTGGACCTAAGGGTAGGGCCGGCTCCACCATCCTCTTTCAGGGAAGTTCGGAGCCCTGTGTTCTGGCTGGCAAGATGGCAGGCAAATGACCGAGGCGGCGGCTCTCGGGCAAGTTTGATGCTCAGCAGGCTTCCTGTTTCGCAAGGCAACTGCTCTTTAACGCCCTGGCGGCTCTGACAGGTCCGATTAATAGCCCACGGCAGCCTGTTTCTGCCTCTCTGGTGAACACGACGATTCCAAAGCAAACCATGACCTCTGCTTTACGTCAAAGAAACTGGGCCTGTGCGGGTCAGCCAAAGTTCATCCGTCGCCTCTGAGTCACTTTTCTATCCCATGTCCCAGAGAACAAACCTAGCAGGGCGAAACTTGTTTGTCT